GAGAGAGAGAGAGAGAGAGAGATGTAATGGATTTTTACTATAATATATCGTATCTAAAAAATCCACTTAAATATAATTAAACTTTATTAAAATTACATAGATAAAATCTGTAAATTTAAGAAATATGCTATATAGTAAATTCTACTATAGCGTCAATTTTACAGTATAATAATTCTTGCTTATCTAAAAATTTATCATATTTATATATTTCAATTAAAGTAACTTTATCAAATTGTAATTTATAATTTTAATTTATTTATTAAAATTGAAACTATATTTTATTTACAACAGAAAGCGGGCAATGAGTCGAGTGATAGCGATAACAACGAGACGACTGTACGGCACAAACGAAGCCAATCTCCCGACGATTTGATAGATAATGACGATGAAAATTGTGTCACATTTCGTGATGGGAAACGACAAATTGGTAAATATAATTGTAATTATTTATGCGATTACATTGTATTGTATTTAACTAGAATGTTTAGATATTTTAAATAAGTACATAATCTACACAATATTTTTAATTGATAGCATAAAAATAGTTTATTAATAATATTTGGTTAATTAATTTATCTTGATAACAAAATTGATTATTAAATAAAAACTAAATACTGAATTACGGGAATTTATCCAATTTTTATTATAGATTAAAAGTTATAATTTATTAAAAATTATTTTTCAAACTATATAACAGTTTTACTTAATAATTGACATAATATGATTAAAAATTAATTAAACTTGATACACATTAACTTGATTAAAAATAATAAATAAAATTCTGTCTATTTAAAATTATGCACACAAAATAAATGGATTTTTATAGATTATTATATTTAAAAAAAACAATAAATAAAATAAAAATTTATAAACCCAATAAATTAATCTTATACAAACTGTAATATGAACAATAATTTAACAATTTATCTACCCTATTATAAAACATTAATAAATATCTCGGATAAATCTTGTATAATAATTAAAAGATGGATTTTTTAAAATTTTATAAGATGAAATTGTATTTTAAATTAACGATTAATTTAATGTAATAATATAAGGTTTATATTGATTATTTAAAAATTGGTAAATATTAAAATGCCATGCTATCTAAATGCTAAATTTTAAAAATAACTTTTATAACTACATCATGAATGGTGCAAAATACCAAGTATTCAGCAAATTTACTAAGCAAAATTCTAAGTCCCATATACAAATTATTAATTAATTAAATAATTCAACGTGGATTTTACCTAGATTTTATTATGTAATGCACTAAATAAATTATTTGGGTTAACATAACACATTACAGCATAAATATTTATTAACCAAATATTATTTCTCGTTACAACCCTATAGATCACATACTGGTGTACGAGGAGTGGACTCAGGCCCGTAACGGCCGGTCCGACAAATACCGGGATAAATATATCGCAAACTTACGCACATTGGGTGTGGAAATGGAGGAGAATGTGGTACCCGTGCGACCGGCACCGGGAGACTCGACGGGACCGGGGGATCGGTTTTTGCACTTTGTAAAATTGTACGTACCATTCCCGGTGATGTGTACTTATGCCGAGCAGCTCAGCCTACGGGCGCCACTACAAGGGTTGGCCAACCCATCGGAGAATTGGTCGGACAGTGTGTTTAATGCGTTACGTATAAGAAATCCAATGTATGAATACGTGCCCAATAAACCACTGGATTACTATACCTGTGCGTTCAAAAAGAATAAACTTGATAAATTTTTAGGTAAGACATTTTTAAATGTATAATTTATTTTGAATAATAATAATATTAGTTATATTATTTTTAATAATATTTTTAATTAGGTTATATACGTTTATAATAGTTATAAATATTAAAATAACAAGACAGAAATTAGTCAAATCCAAATTAAATGCATGTTTACCATGTTTTATATATTTTATACATACTTTTGATATAAGTTATAGTTTGTACCAAGTTTTAAAACAAAGTTTTTCATGTTTTATACTCATCAATATTTAATTTAGCATGTTATTAATTGTATTATAATTTTGCAATTTAAGATTAGTTAAGGATATCTGTTATCATAAAATAAAATACTATTAATATAATATTTAATTAATATAGTTTTAATTTATAATTTAGATTTAATCTATAAATTTGATTTGAAAATGGCAAAATACATTCACATATATTTTTGTTAATATAGTTTACAATGCATTAGTTTAATAAATTTCTAATAATTTAAAAATAAAAATTTTTACATTCGAATTCCAAAATTAAATTACGTTAACCTTATTTTATATATGTGGTGTTTTGTTTTGATAAAAGTTACAGTTTAACATGTTTTTCATATCAACAGATTATTTATTGCAAACGCATTTTATATTATATTTTTA